CGGGGTGTTTTTTTCGCCTGCCTCCCCACAGGGCACCCACCCTAAAGATCTGGAAGAAAACCCAAACTCCTGACTTGCAGAAGACACGAAGATCAAGGCGGTGGAAGATGAAGCACTCACCGCTCCCTGGCCGGGGAAGATCTGGGGCCGTAAGGGAGCAGACAGCAAGAAAACACCATGTATTTTGGCACAGGTAGATGTCACACTGTATGTCGAGGAACATCTACCCACGGTGTCCCCTGGGGGGTCCGCAGCCTGGGGGGATGCTGAAGGACCCGAGGGAAGCGTGGTGCCATGGCTGGGGCTGGAGGAGCCCCTTCCCCTGGAGGAGGGACTCCTGAGAGGTCACACTGGTCCTGTCCCCGGGCCTCCAGTGATGGGAGGCTTCACCAACCCACCCAGGGCTTCCCGGTGGCCCCAAGGGACGTCCTCCATGCGCTCAGTGAGAGTCTTCCCAGGTGAAGACTCCCCATCCCTCTTCTTTGGTCATCCCAAGGATTCCTGGTCACCTGGGCAGGACAGGGAGAACCCTTGGACTTGTCAATGCCTGATAATCCGTTGTCCCACAAGACCCTCAAATCCTTGGGAATGGCCAAGCAGAGGCGCTGCCTGACCATGCCAAGCAGCGGTACCCAGCCCCGGGGGGTCTCAGCTGTACCCCCAGCAGCAGGACGGGGGATCCCAGCTCAGCCGGCGCACAGGGATGGGGCCACGCAGCTCTGAGCCCTTTTCCACGACGTGCCCCCACGAGCGGGGAGGTGGGCAGGGTCGAGCCACGCGCCCGGCTGGCACCGGGGCCATGCTGCCGCTGCCAACACCCTGGCCTGGCTCGGGGTGCCTGGCCGGAGACTCCCCGGCCCCTCCGCCAGCCCCCACCGGCACACGAGCTCACCGGCTTCCTTGGGCTATCGCTTACAAGGGGAATGTCCCCGTGAGCTGAAAATAGCCCAGCGGAGGCCTGCCAAGGCACCAGGGCCTGCTGCTATTCCTGCAGTGCCTGGGGAACGGGCGATTTTATGAGCGATTCGGTCACCCTTGGACCTGCCAGCCGGGCTGGGGTTTTGGCACCCTGGTGAGCCTGTGCTCCCAGCGCAGGGAGCTGGCGCCTGCGTGGGGCTGGCGGATCAGCGAGCAGGGACACGGCAGGGACGTGGCAAGAGTGCAGCCCGCTAAGTGTTGTCCCCAGACACAGTGCAGCCCTCCCAGCCCAGTGCCATCTCGTGGGGACCTGCTGGTGCCCCTGTGCCACCGGGGCCATGCACGTGCGAGGTGTCCCTGCCGTCATGCCCTGCTGGCTGTCACCTACACACCGGGACAAGGATGGCTGATGGGAGAGGGTGGTCACAGCACAGCCAACCTCCCCGACATCTGCCTTGCTTTACTCAGCCAACAGGAGAGAGATGGGGCACCCACGGGGGCCGGGGTCTCCTCCAGGCAAGGTAGCAGGGGTGTGACAGGGATGTAGGTGGCACAAGCAACCAAGATCCGTGGGTGCCTGTGGCACCCCAAGCCCCTTGCCTCACTGTGGCCACCCCTGCACCCAACGGCAGTGGTGCCCGCGGTTGTGCCGATGCTGGGGCGGGGTGGAGTGAGTCCAGTGGGGTGGGATGGGGACACAGAGGTCCCCCACCTCTGGGGAAGTTGGTTACCCTGGGGGGCATTTGCCTGGGATGGTGAGGGTGGGGAGTCCCCATGGCTGCTGTGCCCTGGGTCCTGAGCCCACCCGAGATGACACAACTCCGGTGGTGGAGCCCACCCCAAGGTGTTCTGTCCTGGGTGAGGGGGAACACCCCAAGATGCCATGAGGACATGGTGACGGACCCCATCCCAAGGTGGCACCTCCCAGGCTGAGGCAGGATGAGGAGTCCCAGGGATGGTGGCCCGCGCTCGCTGTCTCCAGGAGAGGTCTGTGCCAGCCCCGTGGTGCCCTCTGCACTTGCTGCAGGAGGATGCCAGCGTGCCAGGGCTTTCCTCGACTCCTCACCCAGCTCAGAGGTGGTGACGGCACAGCCCGGCATAGCCCTCCCACCCAAATCCGTGATCATAGAATCACAGAATCGTTAAGGTTGGAAAAGACCCTTAAGATCATCGAGTCCAACCATTAACCCAGCACTGCCAAGTCCATCTATACCATGTCCTCGAGCACCACATCTGTCCGTTCTTTAAATACCTCCAGGGATGGAGACTCAGCCCCTGCCCTGGGCAGCCTGGACCAGGGCCTGTCTACTCTTTCAGTGAAGAAGTTTTTCCTAATATCCAACCTAAACCTGCCCTGGCGCAGCTTGAGGCCGTTCCCTCTTGTCCTAATGGCTCAAGGAGGCCAAGGGCTCCCCATGGCGAAGGTGTCGAGTGTGGTGGCTGGGCACTGCCTCACCAGTGTGCCTGTGGCCCGTGCCTGTGGCCCATTCCTGTGGCCACAGGGACTCACTACGGGCCACCCAGCCTGGAAAGGATGGCCGGGCTCTGCCCGAGGTGCAAGTGCAGGGAGAAGGAGACCTTCCCCTGGGCAGGAGCAGGGATGGAGCAGCAGGTGAGTGCCCTCGCCCTGAGCTATTGCCCAGCCCCGTGTTGGGTGCTGGCCCCTGCCGGGGCTCCCGGCCGTGCCAGGGAGCTTTGCCAGCCCCAGCCACGTGGGCCGTGGGCCGTTTTGGCGGGGCTGCATGAGTGTGGGTGCAGGGCACTTCCCACCCTTGGCCTCTGGGAGTGGTGACAGGATCCCAGCAGCCCCAGGCATCACCAAACCCTCCAGGCGCTGTGGCCCTGGCAGCATGTCCCGGCACTGTGGTGCATCGCAGAGGGGAACGGTGCCTCAGCCGGGGAGGCAGGGGACTCTGCACCCTCACAGCCAGCCACGGAGACCCCCGGGGACCCAACTTTCCCCCAGCCGGGGACATTGCCGCTGGAGGGGGGATCCAGCTTTGCACAGCCCCGTGTGTCCCTGTCCTCCCTCCCCAGAGGGACACCGTGGCCAGAAACCCGGCTGGGCTCAAGCAAACGCCAGCTGCAGCCACTCTGCCATGCAGGGCGGTGACCCTCCACTTCTACGCTCGGCCGGTATCCACAAAAAAAAGAGCAGCTTTACCCCGGAGATCCCCCACTAGGCCGAGGTGGAGGTTGGGATGGTTAACCCGGCCATGCCCCCATGTGCTGGAGGAGCCACCCCAAACCCTGCCCTTGCCCCCAGGATTGCACCCCTCCACGATGCATCGGTGAAGCTCCCGGTTCCCCACTGGGCTCCCCCAGCCTTCTCCTCACCAAAGCGGAGTTAAACGGGAAGACAAGGCCCAAAAATGGGAAAACACCCCCCCCCCCAAGCCACCTCCTGCACCCCAAAGGCGCCCGGGTCTGAGAGCCCAGCTTGGTACCAAAGGAAAAGCAAAACTTATCATGCAAACCCCACTGATCCCCATGGAGCAGAACCACGGGCAGGAGGTGTGCCACTGCTTTTTCCCAAACCTACAGGACCAGGGTGAAATACGGGACCCCCCGATAAGCAGGAGACACCAAAGGTGGGGACCTGGGGGGCTCCAGCTGCCCTTTGGAGCTGGGGCTGCAGACCCCAATGCGACTCCCAGCCCCGGAGCCTCCTCCAAGGCAGGGACATCCTGGCCCTGGGCTGAGCAGGGTGCTGGTGACCGGGTGCCCAACGCCATGCCCAGTCCCACGGCATCACCCAGGCTGCTCCCTCGCTGTCGGCCGCAGCTTGGGCCATGCCAGTCTCCGTGCCGGCCTCAGCACAACCAAGAGCTGGGCCAGTGGTCACCCACCATGGTGACAAGCCCCCGATGACCCACAGGGCCACCAGCCCAGCCTAGGGTGGCACCAGCCACCAGCCGTGCCTGTAGAGGACCTTCCCATCCCGCCCCATCCCCAGACCCAACCCGCGGCCCCGCAGAGGTCACCCCATCACCGGTGGGATGCGTCGGTGGCCCCAAACCCCTTTTATTCACAAGAATGGTCCAAGATGCCCTTAAAAGGCCAAAACTCGGCGGGGCTGGGGGTGCCGGGTGCTGGAAGGCGGCAGCTGCGGGTGCCCGTGCGCGGGAGTGTCCCCTTACACGGCTGTTTCCATACTTAGCCACCCCGCTCCCAGCAGCGCGGCCGCCGGAGCCTGGCCAGGCAGAGAACTGGCCCAAATTAACTCAAGGGCAAGCAAGGGTACCGGCGATGCCGCCCCACCGCACGGCCCCAAGGGACGCCCGGCCAGGGACAGGGGTGCTCAGCAGGGACCAGACAGCTTGGGGAAGGGGTCCGGGGCCACCCAAAGTGCTATCTTGCTTGGCAAGTCCTTGGGTGGGGGGGAGACCCCCAGGGCAAACAGCCTACCCCATCCTGCTCCGACTACGGGGTGCTCCGGCAGCCCCCCCAAGTCCCTGCAGCCCAAAACCAAGCCACCTCAGCACCTATGGGTGACAGTGACCCCAGGCACGTTGGCGGCAGCACAGCCCCTGTGCCCACCCTGGCTCCGGAGGGGGACCCCAGCCCGTGACCCCCTCCAGCCCCTCCTGGCCACGGCCCCCCACTGTGTTCCTCTGGACATTGTGGGGTGACTCTGCAGCCCTGCAGAGCTGCCAGGGAGCCCGGACGGCTGTACCCCTGCCACCCCATCCTGCTCCTCCTGGCATCCACCCAGCCCTGGGGTGCCGGCTGGGCTCAGCAGGCACCCCAAAGCCTCACTGGCACCCACAGCCCCACAGGTACCCACAGCCCCAGTGAGCACCCGCAGCCCCGTGAGCACCTGCAGCCCCATGGGCACCCCAGCCCTGACGAGCACCCCCAGCCCCACAGGCACCCCCAGCCCCATGGGTGCCCACGGCCTTGCTGGGTGCCTGTACCCCACAGGCACCCACAGCTCCATGGGCACCTGCAGCCCTGCTGGGCACCCACAACCCCATGGGGACCTGCAGCCCCACGGGTACCCACAGCCCCAGTGAGCACCCATAGCCCCACTGGTCACCCGCACCCTCGTGGGGACCCCGCAGCCCGGCGAGCAGCCGTACCTGCAGTCCCGAGGAGCAGGAGCGAGGCCACGCAGCAGCAGAACAGGTTGAGGCCCTTCATGGTGGCTGCCAGGAGCTCCCTGCCGCTCGCTGCCTCTATTTATACGGCGGCGGCGGGGGCGGGG